ATGCATATCGCTACGGCTTGCAATATTTGGGGCCATGAACAAAAGACAAAGAGAAAATCACTCACTGCTCTTACCTAAATAACTTTTGTAGCTATAATAATAATCAGTGCATATTGAATTCAAAGAGTAAATACTACGCAGTGTTTTATTTTTCCTTTTTATTATTCAGTTCCTAAACTCATGTTAAAATGAAATTTTTATGTAATGCGTGAGTAAAACATTATCGTTCACTTTCAGAAGTTGTTGTAGGGGTGCTTTCTTATTAGAATCAAAATCATAATGAGCTTTATTCACCACTTAAGTGTGTGCAAACAAGGAATTTGTTGTGGTTTTACAGAAACTCTTGGTACATATAGTTTACTTTGAGGGCAGACCATTGCTATTTTTCGGATTTCTAAGACTAATGTTCTTTTCATTGTACTACCGTTCAAAAGTGGGGTCAGCAAGATTTTTTTTTTTTTTAATGAAATGAATACTTTCATTCAATAAAGATGCATTAAATTGATAAAAATTAACAGTAAAGACATTTATAACGTTACAAATTATTTCTATTTTAAATAAATGCTGTTCTTTTGAACTTTCTATTCATCACAGAATCTTTAAAAAAAAATGTTTCACAGTTTCCACACAAATATTAAGCACCAAAAACTGTTTTCAACATTGATAATAATAATATGAGCAGCAAATCAGCATATTAGGATCTATGGATCTGATTTCTGAAGGATCATGTGGCACTTAAGAAGACTGGAGTAAAGGCTGCTGACAATTCAGCTTTGTGTCACAGGAAGAAATTACATTTTAATATATACTACAATAGAAAACAGTTTGTTTACATTGTGATAATATTTCACAATATTATTGTTTTACTGTATTTTTGATCCTCCCTTGTGAGCATACGATACTTCTTTCAAAAAATAATTTTAAAAAACCTTACCGGCACCACATTTTTGAATGGTTGTGAAACGTAAAAAAATAAAATGATTATAAATGTAAACTGGACTTTTAAGCATAAGTTACTAAATTAGGCAAACCATCAACGGCAAAACTAAACCAAAATTCCATTTACATGTGGCTCTCCAATTTCCACTTAAATAGCAGTGATAGTAATCCCATTTAAATAATTCTGACATACTAGTCTTACTATCTCTGCAATATATGGTATGTATACTACTATGCATAGTATGCAAATATTCAGTATGCACAGATGACTACAATTTAAAATTAATAGTGTACAACAGAGTTGACCTTGACCACTGTGATGAATTAGTGATGTTTTTGTGCGTGCTTGTTTATTTGTTTTTGTTTTGTTTTTTTGTTTTTTTGCACAAACTGACATTAATATGCAATTTTTTTCCCAAGATCATAACTGGACACATGCAACAGTAACATACTGATTTCCTTCCTGTTTTAAAGAATAACAGGCTGTATAGAGTTTATACTGTGTAGTATTCAGTGAGCTAAGCTATTATTCATTGTGAACACAGCCTCTGCCACACTCTGACAGCAAGAGGAGGAACGGTGTTCAATCAGGGCTGAAAGGATAAGGAACACTTAAAAGTCATGCAAATTGAAGAAAGAAAGAAGATGAAATACAGGTCCATCTCTCCTCCCTGCAATCATTCAAAAGCTAAAGATATCTGCTGTATAGCTCAGACAACTTTTGAGGACCTATTAATCACTGTGCTTTTTTATTAAGCCTTGAATTAGTTCACATTAATAGATCATACTGAGGTAGCTATTATGTTACAACAAATAATTAAATATATATTTGATAATTCACTTATTTTATTGAGTGTCTTGTTTTATTTTTATTTAGTTTTGTAAAAGCTTCAAAAACCTATTCTGATAGCTGTCTGACAAAGTTATTAAAAAAAACCTTTAAAGTACTTTCCTAAACATGCTCTTCAATGGCATTCTGATAAACAACTCACACTAACACTCATTTAAATCTATCTTTGGACCGGAAGGAAGTTGGCAAGGTAAACAAAGTCACCAGGTATTTGTGCCCTACATCTTCATCACTCTAAAGTAAACATACTAAACGTACCACTCAAATCTAACTGTATCAAAGCAAACCCAAATGACTTCACAATAAGAAACATTTCCTAGGCTTCAAACTTTAAAATGGTACACATTCCAAATCAAAAATTGACTTTAGACTAAAAATGAGGTACTCACCTTCAACTTCTTCCTGATCACATAAGTTTTTGAGTAACGAGGCCCCTCTGTCCAGCACGGCCTCATCCTCCATCCTGTAGTAGTAAAAGAGGAAAAAAGACTGCTCACATTTCTCTTCTAAAGACAACGTGGAGCCATAGCGGCGAGGCTCATTCACTTGCAGTGTGTTTCTGCTAATACTAGCCATGTTCCCAGGTTAGCAGGTAACGCTAACAAGGGGTGAGTCTTTGGTCTGGATCCAGCCCTGGTTAGTAGATGTGCGGTGTAACTTATGGGACACAGTCCTGTTCTGAGTGCTGCCCTTGAGGGGACACAGGAGCGGTCAGGTAAACATTGGGAGGGTAATCCGGTCTCTGGGGGATGGGACGGGCTGGGCAGCCTAGTAAGATGCTAATTGAGTCTGATGTCCAGGAGGTGTGAGCCGGGCTGCCACACACAGATTTCAGATCAACTAATGAGCGATACTAATGCTAATACATCACGTTACATGTGGGTGGAATAAACACTGAGCATGGTCTCAAACGCTATTTATGACAATCGGATTTCTCCAGCTGGTCTATTATACTCAAGCGATTATGGGGCATTATATGCCCTAGCATTAGATCAATAATGAAACATGACCTAATCTGACCTGATATAGGAAACTTTACAAACAAACAATGCTTACTGTATTTTCCTAAAAAGTAGTTCGCATGCACCTGACTGTAGTCACCAAGTCAAAATCTCATTGTTGAGAGAATATAAATAAATAAAAAAAACACAGGTAATTATTGCACTGGTTTATTATTACATTAAGAAAAATGTAAAATCCCGGTAAAGTCGCTTTGGAATATAACTCCATCTGAAACAATGTTTTACAATGACTTACATTCCAGAAAATACTATAGTTATAAAAAATAATCCAATATTTAGAATGTTTGAAATGAGGAGGACAAAAATGTATAGCAAGGCTGAAACTTATTTCAGTATTCTTATATATTTTTTTCACCAGTAGATAAATAGCTTTTTACATTTACATCATTTTTTTTATACATTTACGGAGTGTACTGTATGTAAAAGGCTGTGTAAAATAAAATAAAATAAATGTCTAAGTGGACCAAAAACATACAGCAAGAAACACTCAAACAAATTTGTCCAATGTACTGGATGTCTGGAATGAGGAGGATAAAGATCCATAGCAGGGCTGAAATGAACTCGTTTCCTGTTGGCATTTTTCAAAAATAAGAGTAGAGGTGGTATGTTATTCCTTACAGTTTTTTTTTTAATAAAGTCGGTTATATTATTGTTAATTTCAATACTTTGAGCCAAATCAATTTCTTACTTGAACCAACAAAACACTGAGTTAGCATTTACATTTTCTATAAGATGATTGTTAGTCAACTCTGAGTGGACTTATGTAAGCACTTAAACCTTTATCTGACATGTTCCGCCTGGCTAAGACTGCCTAGTAAAATTAAGCAACAGCAACATTGTGAGTATCACAATGATTTAAGACTGTTTTTGGCCATTAAGTTTCCAAAGAGTATGTTGTTATGTCCATTAATACATGGAAGTTTAAATATCTTAAATTCTTCACTGAGACTTCAACACACTCTCTATATACAGGTGCATCTCAATAAATTAGAATGTCGTGAGTGTGCATTGAATTTATTTAATACACGAGTTTCACAATTTGAGTTGAATTACTGAAATAAATGATCTTTTCCACGACATTCTAATTTATTGAGATGCACCTGTAAAAGGTATGCTGTAAACTCTATGTAGTGAACTTTACATTTGCATCTGGGGGAGCATGTAGCCATTTGCCCACTAGGGATAAAGATTATTGCTCCAAGCAAGGTGTAACTGCTCTTTGTCACTTTAGAAAGAAGTCCAAAGACCAGACCGAAACAATTCAGACACTGACATTCTCTTTCAGGAACAGAGGTGTGACTAAAAGTGTGCAGTAAATGGATATGATGTTATTTGTTCCGATCACAATCATCTTTAGAGGTTCGATAATAGAGTGCTTTTCACTTCTAAAATCCATTAAAAACATTTAATGCCCAGAGAACACACTTTAGATAATGATTTCCTCTATGGGCTCATTACATTTTTACAAAACCATAAATAGAAACCAAGATGTAAACACAAACAGGAAGGATAGAGCTTGTTTCTCTGATAAGAGCGCAGAGCTCCTGAGCGCCCAGTGTCACTGCATATCTCAACTAGATGCAATCAAGCATGCTGAAAAGATGCCAAGTTTAAACACTCAATTCTGGAACCCAGGCTCATTGAACGAATGTGCCTGTGGTGACATTTCAACAAAATGATATTACACTGCTTCTTGCACATTTCATAACACGTTCAAAGTAACACTTTTAAAGTGAAATGTCCAGTGAGTGGCACTAAAAGTTCAGTTTTATCCGAAATTCGAACATGAATCTGGCAACAGGTTATTACATTGGTTGTTATATGTATCGCAGAAGTTTGGAAACGAAATGTCCGGTGAGTGGTGCTAAAATGTTAATGCTCATTTGAAAATAAAGTACCACCTACAGTAAACCCTATACTAAACCTATTCGATAAAAATGCATTTGCTGAATCAACCATGCCATTTTCATGGGATTTGTGCCTGAGCACTCAGCATACAATGTTGTACCGGGTGAGCTACTGATCAAGTTTACTATGTCTGAAAAGCCATACACATGGAGCTGGTTATACAAACGTAAGATGTATTAATTCAGAGATCATGCACCATGGTAAAAGTGTTATATAAAAATAATATGATACGTGTTATACGAAAATAAGTTTTTCTTAATTGATTTTTTACTGCCTCTAGTGTTAATTTCCGCTGGAAACTGCAGTGAATTGTATGTATAGGTACATTTTGGATTTTTGCAAAAAATGTAGGTAGGCACACTTTTCCATTGAGCCTATGTTGTAATTCTGGCAAAGTGAAACTCTACAGCAAATCAAGATTTGTTAAAAGTTAAGTTAGTATTACACTTACCACCATTTAAAAAGCCATATTACTGAGGCCTGCAGGGCTTTACACTTATACATGTTGTTAAACAATAACTACATATGGCAGGTGCGACACAAACAGAGGTGTTTGGTTATCTGTGACATGATATAATACTAGATGACTGGTTAATAGGTCAGTGAATAAGTTTAACAGAGGGGTTGGACATGACCATGTTTCTAACACCTAGACTTTACACATAGCTAAGTTAGGACTGTTAATAGCAACCATCAACAATACCAGCTTTATGGACAATGTCAAAATTCATAACCCGTATGATAACCACAGACAAAACAATCCTGTTTATAGTAATCTCATTTGTACAGAACGTACAAAATTGTAAGGAAAACAATTCTCTTGGAGGCAATGGAAGGCTCTCAATTTATCCAGTTTGTTAAAGGATAAAAATCTCTTGGAAAATACTTTTGTCGACCATTATAAAGTAAGGCAAAAAGAAAAAAATAAATAAAGATCAGCACTTAAACTATTTTTTTTTTACATCAGACTCTGACTGTTACTTCCCTAAACTATCCCTCTTCTTTCCCCAATCTTCATTGCCACCTATAGAACAGACATTGACACAGCAAGCACCAACAGTGCTCCTTCACATCAGACGGGTTCACAGTTTCTTGCAAATAGTTGGGTGAACTGTTGTTTAAGCATACATAAAATATGACAAACTAGCATAATAAACTACACCCACACTTAAAACTACAAGCAAAACATAACAATTTTCAACCATTTAACTGCAGCAAAATAAATAAAAATCTAAAGTGGCAACATACCCATTAAGGAATTAACTCTCCTCTTTTCATATTTCTTTAGTGTTTTATGCATAACTGGATTACATATCTGACCTCAACTCCTGACTGGAATCTCTTAAGTGTAAGATAAATCATTCTTCCTTAAATATTAACTTGTATATTTAGATTTTGTATCACTGATTTATTGAGTACTGGGACATAACAGGCTAAAAAGGTGAAATAAAAATATATGTAAATAAGTTCACATATTAACAAATTGTTTTGAGTGAATCTCCTACAAACATGAGAGGCACTTACCTATGTTTGGGTGCAGAATATATTGCATGTGAATGTAAATATTGACATTAATGAAATGGATTCTTAGCTTCTATTCTGAACTGTCACCAGTTTGAAAATCTAAGGTGCTGATAAATTAGCCAAGTTTTGCATATGGTGTTTCTAGTTACTAATAACTAATAATGAGATTATCCAAATATCCAACAGTATGTCTTGTATGATGAAGCTGACATAACCTGCTATGGCAGAAATCATGAGTCATCAATTACTTATTCATCAGTTACTTAAAATTACAACAACAAAAAAAATTCACCAGAGCCTGTGATGTTGTTGAACTCACAACAGGTGAAACATGGAAAGAGGACCAGGATGACTTCGATATTATCTCATTTTTATAAAAGTTTTCCTATCTGGCAATGCTGACAAAAAGATGGGACGTAAACTAGGCTACTGTACGTTGTGGAATATGTTTTGTCCCAGACTCAGCACTCAGTGTTTATATTTAATGTAAATTCAGTGTCTGTTGTTGCAGGGTCTCAGATGCTATTCTACTATGAACTGGATGAGACTTGTTAACTGAACTATAATCCTGATCACAGAACCGATAAATACAGGAGCAGGTTTTGGGCTCTTACCTCTTACCGCCGCTCATTTTGTGAAGCTGAATCGCTGATAATGTATTCCAGTGGTTTGCTGCTTCAGTCCAGAGCGATCAATGGAAGCACTGCAACGCCAAACGTTTCAACTGTTCCGTTACTGCGCGCTCCCAAAACACTGACAACACTGCTTTTGAGAACTCCTTATGAATAAAATAAGTAAGCTACATGACGTTTTCTAATAACAAAAAGCAAAACGTGACAGAAAGTAAATCTAAAATACCTCACGTCCTGTCAGAATGTGCTCCGCCGCATGTGACAGAGATGACGCGCTGAAGCAGCAGAACAACTGGACGCTTCAAATTGCGCCTTTCATTTATTACTAGCCGCTGCTAGGCACGTCACAGCACGAGTGGGAGGTCAAAAAGTTGCGCTAAACCTTGCGTTTACCTTGAGTATGATGACACTTACACCAATTTCTCTTTGAAACGGCAATTCATTAACTTGAAAATACACGCCTCAAAGTATAAACACAAGTAACCCGCGGAACTACTTTAATGTGCGCTCATGTGATCAACGGATCCAAAGTTTGGCTGTGGGATGAAAACAGGTACTCCGCGCGCACCTTGTGCTTGCTTCACTTTCACGTGAGACACAGCGACACCTTCCGTGGAAATCTCACACCAACAGCATGTTTACTCA